CTTCTGCTTCTCAGAGAAAAAAAAAATAAAAGGAAAACCATCCCCTTAGCCTGCCCCACTGCCAAGAGCCCTTTACTCAGGATTGGACAATTACCACTAATTCCACCTTAAATTGCTTCCTGTCAGAGATGGGCATCATTAGGCAACTTTCTCCATTTCCTTTTACAGAGAGATGAAAGAAAAAGAGAGAGGGACAGAGAGAGACAGACAGACAGAGTGAGAAAGACAGAGAGAGAGAAAGAGAGAAGGAAAGGAAGAAAAGAAGGAAGGAAGGAAGGAAGGAAGGAAGGAAGGAAGGAAGGAAGGAAGGAAGGAAGGAAGGAAGGAAGGAAGGAAGGAAGGAAGGAAGAAGAAAGAGAGAAAGAAAGAGAGAAAGAGAGAAAGAGAGAAAGAAAGAAAGAAAGAAAGAAAGAAAGAAAGAAAGAAAGAAAGAAAGCAAGCTCCCAAGGTTTTTCCAGATGATAAAGTCATCATGCTCCCATGCGATGCCTTCAAAGCAGCAGAAATGAAGAGGGTCGCTCTCTGAGTTCGAGACGGCTGCTTTCTTGATCTAAAGAGCCATTTTGCTTGGGTCTGTGATTATGAGAATTGCATGTTGTGGATGGGGTGGAGGGAGCAGGCAGACATGGTCCAAACCATCAGCGATAGACTTTTCTACTTTTCTGTGACCTCAAGGGGTCCCTCCCCTCTCCTCCCCCTCCCCCCCAGGGCAGGTTTGCCTCTTGCCTGGACCATGCTGACTGCCTCAGTCTCCCAGCCTGCTCCAGCTCAGACTCCACACAGCTGCCAAAGTGATTTTCCTGAGATCTAACCCCGTCACCACCTTATCCAACAAACTCCTCCAGCCTCAAGAATGAGACACTGACTCCTCTGCCAGTCAAGGCCCTTTTTAATCCGCCCCCCACCCTCCCTCCACAGATTTGTTCACTTCACTCCCATCAAACATTCTAGAATCCAGCCACTGGGGCTCTTCTGGCTGACCCTCCTTCTCCAGACTCCACACCTTTGCCCAGGCTGTGCCGCATGCCCACAGTGCCCCCCCCAACCTCTTAGAATCCCTAGTTTGCCTCAAAGCTTGGTTCAGGTACCACTTCCTCTGGGAAGCCTTTCCTAATATCACCAACTGCTGGTGACTTCCCGGCCCCCAGATTATGTTACTTTGCAAAAGCAACGTCCATTCTTGCACATGCACGTGTTATCTCCCCCGCCAAGAGCCCTCATTCCGTTTTTGTCTCTGTATCCCCAGCCCTAGCACAGCGCCTAGTAGGTGCTTAATAGATGCATGCTGGCTGACTGATGATCAAGCAGCTCAAGATGCCTTACTTTACAGAAGAGATAAAGGAGACCCAGAGGGAAATGACAAACCCAAGGTCACAAAGAAGGCGAGAGACCAAGCTGGACTGGAATCCGAGTCTTTTGTCTCTAAATCTGGTAGTCCTTCCACTGCACTCTGCCCGTAGTTTAGAATTGATTAGTTAGAACACAGCCAGTCTCAAACATGGCCCCAAGAGAGCCAGAGGGGGAAGGAGCGGGGCAGCCAAATGCAACCACGGAAGGGATTTGGAAAAACTACTGTGATGGAGAAGTGAATGAGCAAGGGTTTGTGAAGCACTTGCTATGTACCAAGAGCAGGGCCTCCCATCCAAATGCAATTTCTAAAGGTCTGTTCATCCTGAATGTGAGCCACACTCGGCTCTATCATCAAAAATGGCTTTAAAATGAGGGACACATTCTCCATCATGCTTCTGAGGCTCCAACGGGCCTTTCCTTCTCACCCACTGCAAGGAGGGCTGCAGGTCCCAGAAGCAGCTTTGTATTTGTGGAGAATTTTCATGCCAGATAAAGAAAAGCCAGATTGGACACAGAGAATGGTGGAGAAATGATGGAAAGGCATTGAATGAAGAAGGAATGAAGGCGGAGGCATGAGCACTGCTCAGTGGTCAAGGAACCAGGGCTCGAATCTTGAAGTGGCCCCTTCCCACCAGAACAATGTTCTTACAAGATGGCTTCCTGTCTCCTGTCCCCAGGAGGCAAGACGCGGTGGACGAGGGGGTTGGACATGAGGCTGCCGCAGCCTCCCTATACGTCCTAGCTTTCTAAGCCCTGCACAGTCTGGCTCCCAACTCACGCTTCAGAATGACTTTCTCATCACTCCCTCCAGGATCTTGACCAGCTGGATTGAGAACGGAAGTTTATCTAGTGAGGTGCATAATGTAATAATAGTCTAAGCTATCTACTTAACATATAACCTCCATTAGGATAGAAGCTCCTCCAGGGCAGGAACTGCCCAGCACAGCAACCAGGAAATAGTAGATGCTTAATATGTGCTGGGCTGACTGGCATTCCTTGGTGGGTCCTCCTCTGTTCCCTCTCCCCTCCATGCACCCCTTTACTTCTGCTCCACCCAAATTCAGAGGCATGACAGCCTCAGGATTCAGCCAAGAAGGAGCCTGAGATGGAAGGGGAATGTGGTCCCTGGGACATCACCAGCCACCCAGGCCTAGCTTCACCCCTCTCACGCTGCATCGAATGCTCAGAAATCCCAGCCCATTCAGGGGAGTGGATGGCCTGGGTGCCCCTCTGGCCATCAGAAGGGCATCCCCTTAAAATTTCTAGTCGATCCATAATTTCTCATCTTAAAAAGGGAAGAAAAATGAAATGGAGTATTAGGTGTCCAGATAAAAGACAAGGCAGAGAAATGGGAGAGAAAAATCTCACCATTTGTAGGCTGTTGAGGCAAAGTGAATATTTTGTACTAAGAGGTTTAAATTGCCCAGAATCCTCTTTATTTTCAGAGCAGGAGGGTGGCTAAATATTGGTTCCCCATATTGATCAATGAGCTTAAGGCACAGATCCCCGCACTTATTACATATGAGCATTCACAGGATTTAGAGCAAGATGGCACCTTCGAGGTCTCCTAAGCCACTTGGAAGAAGACTGGCCAGATGGGAAAGGGCTTTGAATGTCAAGCACAGGAGTTTCTACTTGATACCAGAGGAACTGGAAAGCCCCTGGAGTTCACTGAGAAGAGAGGGGGACAGAGAGGCGGACCTGTGCAGATCTTTGCCATTAATACCAATCTAAAGAGCTTGGACTGTATTCTAGGAAAGCTAAGGTGAAGCAGCACAAGGCAGGTCCCCAAAGCGAGGCCTCCCTCCCACCCCCCAAACCCCCGAATCCTGATGCCAATAGCCACCCCACCCCTGGGGTGGGGGAAGATGATGCTGACCTTTGATGACAAGTGAAGCAGACAGCTCCCTGCATGGTTACTGCCTTCATTTCACACCAGTGACTCGTTGGCATTGTCCTTTTGTCACACAGAACCCCAAGGTATGATGGTAAGCTGCACACGGGCTTTCTTCCAGGGGCAGGTGATGGGCTCCACCCCAGATCACGGAGCCCATGAGAAACACCCACATGGCCACCCCTTCCTCTCCAGTGCAGAACAAAGCCCAACACTAAAGAAGCAAAGAATGTGTCCTGGGAAATGGGGAAAAGCCCCCAGAAATGTGCCCAGGGGTGCTGCCTCTGGTCCACACCTGTGTTTTTAAACACCTGGGGAAATACAAGTATGGAAACTCACAGCATTAAACAGTGGAGAGAGCCCTGGCTTTCCAGGAAGAGGATCTTGGGCTGAGAGGCCATTTGGCCTGACCCCCTTGTTTTACAAATGAGGAAACTGTGGCCCAGAGAGGTTAAGTCATGCTGCTAATAAGAATCAGAGGCAGGATTTGAACATGCTTCTTTCTGACTCCAAGTCCAGTAAAACATTTATGAATTTGCCTCTGACACTTAGCAATCATGGGACCTGGGGTAAGTGACTTACCCTCCGCCTTAGACTCAGTTTCTCCATCTGTTAGAATCAGAGGGTTTGCCCGATGATCCCTGGGGACCATCATGCCTCTACCTCTATGGATCTGTAAGAGCTCACACTGTCCACTGGGCTGTGAGCCACGGTCTTGGAGAACCGCTCTTGACCCGAAGAAGTCTCGGAGAACCGCTCTTGACCGAAGAAGTTAGGAGATTCGCCGATTCCCCCAGGGCTGCACAGTCAGCCGGTAGCAGAGGCAAGACAGGAATCCAGGTCCTTGCATCTCCAAGGCTGATTCACTACCCATTAGGCAACACCGCTTCTTCCCATGGAATCAGAGCTGACATTTCCATGGTGCCTTACGGCTTGTAAAGCACTTCATGGACATGATCGCATTAAGCTGTGCAACCACCACCTGAAGTGTGCCCCGCAGGCATGACTATGTCCACTTCAGAGAGGAGAAAACAGACTCAGCGAGCTCGGTCATGAAGTCAGCAAGAGTCCGAGGCAGGATTCCTACTCAGGTCCTCCTGACTCCAAGGCCAACACCGCCTTCACTACACAAAGCCGCCTCTCCCCATAGGCACGGGGGATGAAGGAATCTCCGCTTTAGAAACGCAAGGATCCCTGAGGATGTAGAGTCCAGCCTCCTCGCTGGACAGCTCAGGAAACTGAGGCCCAGTGAGGTCTGCTGGCTTAACAACAACAACCATGACCAAAGCAGCTACAATAATGATAATAGCTATTTATACAGCATTTTAAAGACTGTAAAATTATATTTATGTATGTGTACATGTACCCATATATACGTGCACATATAGATTTCCCCCATTTGACCCTCACAATGACCCTAGGAGGCAGGTGCTATTATTATCCCCATTTTACAAATGAGGAAACTGAGGTAGAGGTGAAGTGATTTGCCCAAGGTCATCCAGTTAGCGCGTGTCCAAGGCAGGATTTGAATTCAAGTCTTTCTGGCTCCAGTTCCAATGCTCTATCCAGGTAGGTGTGACAGAAGCGAGATTTGAACCCAAGTCCTCAGACCAGAGAGCCGCGGCCCTTTTCCCTCCCCAACGCTGCCTCTTGACGTTTCATGGTGCTGATGACGAGATGCCCACCAGAAGCCCCAGGTGAGTGCCGGGCCAGGCGCAGCCCAACCCACCCGGCCGCTGCAGGATGACGCCCTTACCTCTGTCTGCAGGATGGCCGCCCGCTGCTCTTTGGCGGTTAGAGATTCTTTGAGCACCTCAATATGCTGTTTGCAATCCGAATTCTGGTTGCTGAGGGTTTCCAGCTTGGTCTGTAAGGCGAGAAGTTCCGATTCCTTCTTGGAGAATTCCTGTTTCAACTGATCCACCTGAAACAACAAAATGCTCGTGTCAGAGGCAGGAAGCGATGCAGTCCAGAGGGCCCTGATCCCTTCCTTCCCTAGGCCAGGCAGGTCATAGCAGCTCTAGGGAGGGCTCCTTTCACCGTGGGGGCTGCCAGGCAGAGGGCGCAGACGGGGGAGCCCTCTACTCACTCACAGAACTAGCCTCCTGCCCCAGGGGAGCCTCCAAATTCCTCCTCCCTCCCAGGGCACCCCAGAAACTGCCTCTTTATATCCAAACCCTTGGCAGAGAGCCTGAGTGTAGACTCTCAGTTCTTAATACCTGGGTGACCTTGGGTAAGTCATTTAACTTGCCTGAGCAGCCTCCTTTTCAGACATTCGAAATTGCTGGTCCTGCCTGACAAAATCTATGACTCTGTGAATAAATGGCCACTTGACTAATCTGGTGTTTGCTGTGAGTGCAGTCATCAGACAGCAAATACCTTATTCATTTATAGTATTCCCCACTTCGGAAAAGTAAAGTGACTTTCATGGTGTCAGAGAGATCACAAGAACTAAAGAAGGATTCCAACTCAGACCTACAAACTCCCAGGCAAGCATGCCAATTGGGCTTATGATGGACTCACAAATGAGTGAGCTTCTCATCACTGGAAGGAGCCAAGCCCTTAGAGGTAAGCTGAGCCTGCTCCAGGGACATGGAAGGAAGGCTGCCTGCTTCCCCCACAGAGCTGGCCCAGCCAAGCCCTCAGGCTGCATTCCCTCTCAAGATTCTGCGTCATATTTCTATGTAGCATCTTACAGATTATCATGAAATAGTCTCTCTCTCTCTTTCTGTCTTTCTCTGTCTCTGTATCTCTGTCTCCTTCTGTCTCTCTCTCTGTCTCCTTCTTTCTCTCTCTCTCTGTCTCTTTCTGTCTCTATCTCTCTATCTCTCTGTCTCTACCTCTCTCTTTCTGTCTCTCTCTGTCTCTCTCTTTCTCTGTCTCTCTCTGTCTCTCTGTCACTATCTCTCTTTGTCTGTCACTGTCTCCCTCTCTCTCTGTCTATCTGTGTCTCTATCTCTGTCTCCACCTCTCTCTCTCTTTCTCTCTGTCTCTCTGTCTCTCTGTCTCTCTGTCTCTCTGTCTCTCTCTCTCTCTCTCTCTCTCTCACACACACACACACACACACACACACACACACACACACACTCACATAAGAAAGAGAGTGTATGGAGAAAGGGAGACCCAGGATGAGGATAACAAACATACCACAGGAAATTAGAAATCTTTCAACTTCCATTTGCTCCTTAAAATTGATATCCTCAGGTCAGCTAGGTAGCATGGTGGATAGAGCCCCAACCTTGAAGTCAGGAGGACCTATGTTCAAATCCAGCCTCAGACACTTACCAGCTGTGTGACCCTGGGCAAGTCATTGAACCCCAATGGCCTCAAAAATGGATATCCTCAAAAATAACGTAAGCCCACAAAAGCTTATCTAGCTGCAACCAGTCATACGTATGTTGGAGTCTACATATGAAACTGATTCACTTAAAATAATAATTAAGAGAGATTTCCAAGGCAGGGCCCCTTTGGAGAGGAGATTCCCATAACTGCCCCAAAGCCCCATTAGTAGGGAAATGTCTGCTGACTAGAGAAAAAATGTACAAGGTATATCCTTGGCATCAGGAAGATTAAGTCTCCTCTGACACGCACAAGCTAGACAATTGAATTAACATCTCAGTGCCTTCAGCAGCTCTGGAAGATCACGATTTAGTGGGTGGCACCATAGTTAATAGAGTGCTGGCTTGGGGCCAAGAAGACTCCTCCACCTGAGCTCAAATCTGGCCTCAGACATTTACGAGTTGTGTGACCCTAGGCAAGTCGCTTCACCCTGTTTGCCTCAGTTTCCTCACCTGTAAAATGAGCTAGAGAAAGAAATGGCAAACCAGTCCAGTATCTTTCCCAAGAAAACCTCAAATGGGGTCATGGACAGTTGGAAATTTCTGAAACAACTGAGCAACAAAAGTGGCACAGAGTCTGGAGACAGAGCACCTCCTACTTCTGACACTACCCGTGTGACCTTGGGCAAATCAGTGCCACCTCCAAAGGCCTCAGTTTCCTGAACTGTAAAAGAAAGAGGTTGGCTTGGATGTCCTGTGATGCTGATGGGGGAAGACAAGGGCAGCGGGGGAAAGGGAACAAAGAATAATGTTTAAGAGAAACGCAATCTCCTCGGTGGGGGAGGGGGAGACATTCCTCTTTACAGCAGTAACTCAATAAAAACGGAAAATGATACAACCAGAAATGTAGGCCTGCCGAAGACTGAGAGCAGCAAGGAAAGGACAGAGCCCAAGGCCAGTCTGAATGACGTCACACCTCTGGGGAGGTCCGTGCAAGCATCGCACCCACTCCATCTCTCCTCAGGTTCCTCCCCCAGCTCTGTCGGCGACACCTCTCCCGCCCCACAGGAGAAGAGCCCGCCAAAGAAAACAGCTTCTTTGTCATCCCTGATTCAGCCTTCCCATCTGTAGGAGGGCAATCGACGATTGCGCAGCCTGGGCTAGGCGAGGGGCACCAAACTGTCAGATGTTAGTGAGAAAACGTGCTCAAAATTCAGAACAAAAGGGGCCGAGTCTGGAAGGCTGCTGAGTGGCATTGCTGGCAGATGCTGGGGGGGAACGATAGAAGTGAGGCTCCTCTGCTACAAGGCCTGGAGAAGAAGAATGAGCCAGGCCACGAACAAAGCCTCCTTCAGAATGAGGCCAGCAAGCATTCTTTCCCCCAACCTAATTATTCATATGGTACATTATATTCTCAAAGGACTAATGGTGCCGCTGAGTGACACAGTGTGCAGAGTACTGGGCCTGGAGTTAGGAAGACCTGAGTTTAAGTCCAGCCTCAAACATATCCTAGCTGAGTGACCTTGAGCAAGTCACTTAACCTCTGTTTCCGTTTCTTCAACATAAAATGAAGATAATAATAGCACCTACCCCCCCCAGGGTTGTCATAACAATTAATTGAGATGGTTTTAAAGCGCTTAGCACAGTGCCTGGCACATAGAAGGTGCTATATAATGTTAATGATTATTATTAAGGATGTTTCTGAGTAAAACTCATACTTAATATCATTTCTCTATTAGGTTATGTTGTTGAATTTCAACTCCAATAGGAATGGAACCATTCTGCTGGCCAATTATCCTACCATGGGTTTGCAAGCTTGTGCTTCTCAACTATACTGAAAGAGACAGAGACAGAGAAGGAAAGAAAAGAGAGAGAGGAAAGAGGAAAGAAGAAGCACAGCAGAAGGGAGAGAGACAGACAGAGATAGAGAGAAGGGAGGGAGAGACAGAGAGAAGAGAGGGGAAGAGGAGAAAAAGAGAGAAGAGAGAAAGGGAGAAAAAAAGAGAGAGGGGGGAGAGAGAGAGAAGAAGGAGAAGGAAGAGGAGGAGGAGGAGAAGAGGGAGACAGAAGCGACAGAAAGGGAGAAAAAGAGAGAGAAAGAAGGAGAGGGAGAGAGAGAGATAAGAGAGACTGAGAGACAGAGAGAGAGAGACAGACAGACAGACAGACAGAGAGAACAGATGTTAGGTAGATAAATTAGATGCTAGATGTAGAAAGCTATTGATAAATATAGAAAGCATATTTGAGCACACAAGTACAGACGCATGCCAACAGACCATATGTGGTAGCCCATGACCCCTGCGTGCTTGGAGCCTTGGCCACACCTTCACATCTCTGCAATTGCTCTCACCTCCATAGCTGCTGCCTCGCCTAACCCTTCTCGTGGATCATACTGACCAAAAGGATTTCACTTCCTTATTGCCACTAATGACGAACACAGCAGTTTTGGGAGCCCCTCCTAACCAAACTCGGTCCAGCCTTAAGCTCAAAATTTAGAGATGCCAATCCCTCATTTTACAATAAGGAAAGAGGCTCATAAAATGACTCACCCAGGGTCATACGGCTAATTGGTGACAGAATTAGGACAAGCGTCCTAGGATAGTGACTGCAAGTCCAGCGTCCTTGTATCTAAAGCGCAGAGCTGCTTGGTCACTTGTATCTGCTCATGAACCCCGAGGTGTGAAGAGTCACAGTATATACACATACGTACATGCATATGTATGAACGTCCATATGTGTGTATAGTGCGTGTATATTTACCAGATCTGTGATGCCATTTTTATACAGTGAATTTCCAATAAGGAAACCCCCTCTAGCACTGCAGATAGGTGCCAGCTGAGCCTTAAAAATGTGCCTGAAGCAATAAGAGGCTGAGTAACTTGTGCAGTTACAAGGCCAGCTTGTGTCAGACAGAGGTAGGGAGGCCTTGAATCCTGGGGTTCATAACTCCAGGGCTGCTCTCTACTAAGTCAAAGTAAAGTCAACAAGATTTTATTAAGCACTTACTGTGGACCAGCTGAGCTGATCCAAAGAAGGGTTAAAAGCAGTCCTTGACCTCAGGGAGCTCACACTCTAACGGAGGAGAAAATATGTAAATAGCAAGTTACCTACAATAATGATGATGCCAGTGATAACTAACATAAGGCAGCTAATTGGCACAGTGGATAGAGTTCTGGGCCTGAGGTCGGGAAGACTTGAGTTCAAATCTGGCCTCAGACACTTCCTAGCTGCATGAGCCTAAGCAAGTCACTTAATCTCCATTTGCCTCAGTTTCCTCATCTGTAATAACAGTATCTACCTCCCCGAGTTGTTGTGAGGACCAATAAAGATAATAATTATAAAGCACTTAGCACAAAGTTAGTTATCATCATTATTATTGTTGTTATTATCATTATTATTATTATTATTAAAGGAGCACTAAGATTTACCAAGTACTTTAACATATATTAACTCATTTGATCCTCATAACAACTCTTTGAGGTAGGTACCGTTGTTACCTTCATTCCCAGATAAGAAAACTGAGGCAGCCAGAGGTTAAGTGACTTGCTCAAGGTCACACAGCTAGGAAGTGCATGAGGCAAAATTCGAACTCAGGTCTCTTTGACTTGAAGCCCATCACTCTATCCACTAGACAGCACTAGATAGGATGGCCGGCCACCTAGAAGCCTAGTAAGATAGATACAGAGGAGATGGAAAATCAACGTTATGCTGCCTTTCATTCTCAATGGTCGTTATTTTCAATATCTCACCAGTTATAAGTCAAACCAGATGAGACGCCCAGAACCAGGAGAAGGAGTGTCTCAGTCCTGGCACAGTCAGGAGACCAGGGTTGCTGGATGGAAACCTACATGTTGGGGGGCGAGGTGTAAGAAGACTGGAAAGGCAGGAGGGGGGCAGTTATGAAGGGCTTCAAAAGCCACGCGGAGCATCTTGTATCTGATCCTGGAGCACAGGAGCACCCGTAGAGCAACAAGAAAGGCCCCAGGTTCTACCCTCAAATCCTGGCTCCATGCCTGGGCCAGAAGAAGGTCTGGTAAGAGTGTCTAGAATCCACAGGGCTAGTCAGTTCTAAGGCAAGCTTGAGCTCCCCCATCTAGGGCATCCCTAAATCCTCTAAAGGGAAGGCGTGCCTGTACAGAACTGGGACTCATTAGGAGAACCACATGCCTGCCATTCTCTTATACCCACCTGGAGCTGCTTCCTGGGACCAGAGATCCCAGCTGGGAGGACATGACGCTCTGGAACTCCAGTCCTGGCGCCCTGAGCTGCCCCGACTGGGGAGGGCTTCACTCAGATCAACGGACCCAGCCGCTTCCTGCCCTAATGCCCTTTACGTACACCCCCAGCCTCCTGCTCCTGGCCAAGGCATGCCAGCCAACTCCTCTAAGGCTCCACCCTCCATCCCTGGCGCTTACCAAACCAGTGCTCTCCTCTCTGGCCACCATTCCTCTATTTGTGCTGTCTGCCTCTATTAGAATGTAAGCTCCTAGAGGGAAGGGACTGTCTCACCTTTGTATTTGTACCCCCAGAACTTAGCACGTAGTAAGTGCTTAATAAATGCTTTACATTCAGGCATAGATACGGGATTAGATAGGATATTCAAGTTAATGTAATCCAGGGCTTCTTAATCTAGGGTCAGAGAACTTTTACATCTTTTATATATGTCTCTCTGCGTGTGTACAGAATGTGTGTACCAGTACATATCTGTGAATGTTTATGTGCGTGCGTGTATCGATTATATACATGTACACACAGGCACATGCCTATGTGCACAAGTGTCACATAACCATATTTACTTATTATACAAATGCAGTATACATAAATACATACATGTGCATAGATGTTCCATGTGTGTATTACAAGCATGTCTATATGGATACATAACTATGTTTAAATAATTGATGTCTATTGTAATGCTATGTATTTTATTTTATGCATTTAGATACTACCCTGAGAAAGGGATCAGACACATCACCAGAGGACTGTCAGTGAGGTCTTCATGACAGAAACAAAGTAAGGACCCCTGATTCCATTCAATCCCTTCCTTTTACAGTTAAGAAAATGGAGGCCCCGGGAGGTTAAGTAACTTGCCCAAGGCCACAGAGACAGCGACCAAGTCAAGATTTGTGTCCCGGCCTCAGATGCCAAATCCAGCCCTCTCTCTGCTTCCCCATGTTGCCTTCTACTTGAGAAGAGCCTGTGTTAAGTTAGCTCAAATAACAATGCAGGACATTGGGTAGAGAAAATTGATTAGATTAACTCTGCCTCATGAAAGAAATGAAGCTTACCCTAGCAACAGGGCATTGTAATTACACCGGGTAGTGCCCACATTTGTCTTTTGTCCTTAACAATTTGTCCTTTTGCTCTTTTTTAATAAAAACTTTGACTAAATATCTTTTGTTCTGCCGACCTGAAAGCCTTAGGGCACATCAGTCTCTGGGCATACAAAGGGCCTTGTCTGATCACTCCCCACTAGCGAATCTCCCGGCCTAGCATTGGTCTCTGACAGTCAGACCAATACGGCCCCTCCACTGATAGCGATCATGATGAGCGGCAGAATGAGGCTCTTCTGGTGACATCGTTAATGGCAAGATGATGAACAGAGCTGTTGAGAGATGTGGGGAGGCAGGTGCGCCCTTGGGGTGGGCTCCTCATATCTAATAAAGCAATCAGAGATTCCCGGCCAAGCACTGCCAGCCAGATAGCCTTCCCATCATCTCTCAGCCCCTCGGACGGACAGAGTCTCCTTCCTGAGAGCTAAACTGCGCAAACTCTGCTCCTCCAACGCAAGGGATGTACCCCTGATTCTACCCAGAGAGGGAGTCCCCAGATGCAAGAAGAAGCCAGGAAAGAGGGGCTGTTTAGGAAAATGGATCTTTCACTTTGTCAGACCCCAAACTGAAGGAGGCAATGGAATCCTTCAGAAATTCTTCTTGTCTGGTGCCAGGGTCATCTGCACAGTTAAATGGCCAAATCACCCTAAATCTCCGTTTGTACAGGCAGGGCAGTGTAAAGACACTGGCCCTGGAGATTTCAGTCCAAAGCCCACCTCTTACTGCAGGCATGATGCCAAGCAAGTCATGTGACCACCCTGTGGCTCCGTTTCCTCATAAAGAGAGGGAGTTAGGGACCAGATGGTCCGGAGAGTTCCTTTAAGCTCCGGATCTATGAGTCTATAACCTGAGTTCCAAACCCATTTCTATCACTTCAGGCATTAGACAAATCATTTAAACTACCTGGGCTTCCGTTTCCTCATCTATGAAATGAAGGCATTCATGACCTACATAATCTCCGAGTTCCTTCCAGCTCTGAATCCCAGGTCCATATTTCAATTTGAGCACCACATTTGGAAGCCAGGGACCTGGGTTTGAATCCTACTCACCACCTGTGAGATCTCAGTTGGGTGATTTTAGGGTTCTTCCCACCAAAAACAAAAAAATGGCATCAGACTCGATGGCCTAGGAAGTCAGCTCTAGATCCACAATGCTGTGACATTTGCAACAAATTACAAAGAGAAGGCACTGACTGGTCCTCCCTTTCCAGCTGTCTCTACTTTTGACTTGAAAAAGAAATCCCTCCTGCTCCCCTACAGTTTTCTCCCAGAAAACCACACTAGTCTAACACTCCCTCCCTTTATAAAGAAGTAAATAGGATTTAAATCTGGAACAGGAACACAGAAGCAATCAAAGCTTATTGTAAGGCAAAGATTTTTATTTTAAAAAGAAACACCCTTGAGACAGAGACACTTTTAAAGCACTGAAAGTGCCCAAAAGGTCGGCTCCAGACTCCCCCTGAATGAAACAGATGAACAAACTGAAATTAAATGTCAAAGAAATGAAGCGGGCCTTACTGCAGCAGGCAGGAGAGGGGAAAGGGCAAAAAGGACGGGGGGGGAAGGGAAAGGAAGGGGAAGAGGGAAGGCAGAAGGGGAGGGGAGGGAAAGGGAAAATTTAAAAAAAATAGCATATGAAGCTACAATCTCCACTAATCTATCAACACATTCCACAGCAACCACCAAAAACAAAGCACATCAGAGAGATGTGAACCAAGGATTCTGAAGTCAGACAGAAGTGGAACTTAAAGGGAAAGTGCCTCCTTGCCATGGTTGCAAATGCAGAAAAAAGGGTCAAGAGGGAAGAACCAGAGAAACCTGGGGGTCTTCTAATGTGGAAATTCCCATCGATGTAGACTGATAACTCATCCATAACTCGCAATCTTAGAGTTTCCTAGGGCACTAAGAGGTTCAATGACTTCCCCAGGGTCACACAGGCAGGATATTCCAGTGGCAGAACTTGAACCAAGGTCTTCCTGAATTGGAGGCCAGCGTGGTATCCAATATGTACATGTTACGTCTACATATGTAAGTATCTCCATGTATACACACATCCATATATACCCGTGCATATGAATATACTACGTGGTATAATATTAAAGCACTTTGTAAATATGGTTTAGTATTATTATAATGCCACATTACTTCTCTAATGGAAACATTTGTTGTCAGTTGTTTCAGTCATGTCTGACTCTCCATTTAGCAATTTCTTGGCAAAGATACTGGAGCGGTTTGCCTTTTCCTTCTCCAGCTCATTTTACAGATGAGGAAACTGCAGTAAACAGGGCTCAGTGACTTGCCCAGGGTCACACAGCTAGGAAGTGTTTGAGGTTGGATCTGAACTCAGGTCTTCCTGACTCTAGACCCAGCACTCTGCATACTATGGTGTTACCTTGCTTCACTATGGAAACATAAGGAAACTAACATTTAAAAGCATGACACTCATGGAGAAAGTAGTGATTAAAGTATTTCCCTCCAACTACTTGAAAAAAATCTAAGCCTCTATGTTGCTCAAGGCCTCTGATTTTTCAGAAGAACCATGGGATCACAGCTCTCAAGTTGGAAAATGCCTCAGCATCCACTCCTGTCATTTTACATTTGCAGAACCCAAGGCCTAGGAAGTTGAGGTCACTGCCCACAAGGAGGTGGGATTTGAACCCAGGTCCTTGACCCATGCAGATTGGCATCCTCTGAACTCTACAAATGACCATCAATGTTGGAACAGCCCAAAATGAACTCATTCTTCACAGCTCCCATGCCACTTCCCTGGATGGTCCCACCCCCCAAGGGTCAGAGTCACGGGCCCCCAGACCACACCTTGTTCTTCATGAACTTGGAATGGCTCTTGTACACCTCCACTTGCTTGATCTCTTCCTCACGCTCCTCCGTGTTCAGGACCCCGTTGGCTTTCAGCATCTGGATCTCATCCTCCAGGTCCCGGATGTTCCGCTCCAGGGAAGCAATCTTTGTGTCCTGTTGGGGACAATGGAGAGAAGATGTTATGCTCAGCAGGCCCAGAAAAGGGTGCAAGGGAGAGACACATATTCACCTTGAAGCACAAAGAGCCCTAAATGCAGAACTGGAATCTAGATTAGTCAGTGAACAACCATTCTTTAAGTATTTCCTCTGTTCCGGGTACTCTGTTAAGCAGTGGGGATACAAGGAAAGTAAAAAAAAAAAAAAATCTATATTAGAATATACCTGTGTGAGTTTAGAGATCTGTAGAGATACACATATCTCCACAAAGAGATATGCTTTAATATATCTATGTTAGACCTGTTACCCTAATAGATATGCTAATCTAATATAGCTATATCAGAATATGTCTATATAGTGATTTATATACATTAGAATATCTATATTCTAGATAGAATATCCACCTATATTAGAATACATAGCTATGTGGAGATGTATGTTTCTTTCTATAGCTATCAACACATATATACATGTACATACACATGCATAAATACACATACATACATGTATACATGCATATGTATGTGTATTTATGGCAGCTAGGTGGCTCAGGTGACAGAATTCTGGTCTTCTGGAATCAGGAAGACCTAAGTTCAAATCCTACCTCAGACCCATACTAGCTGGGTGACCCTGAGCTAGTCATTTACCTCCGTTTGCCTTAGTTTCAAAATAAGGATAATAAAAGCACCTGCCTATCAAATGAGATAATGTTTGCAATTTGTTATTGTTGTGGAATCACTTCGGTCCGTGTCTGACTCTGTGACCCGATTCGGTTTTTCTTGGCAAAGAAACTTAAAGTGTTTTGTCATTTCCTTCTTTGGTTATTTTACAGATGAGGAAACTAAGGCAAACAGTGTTAAGTGACGAGCCCAGAGTCACACAGCTAGCAAATATCTCAGGCCATATTTGAACTCAAGAAGATGAGTATTCCTGTAAAGCTTTTTGCTGATCTTACAATGCTATATGAATGCTATTTGCTATTAATACTTGTTAATAAATATTTATGTTTGTTTAAAAAGAATCTGTTATACTTTTATGATCATGGACACGATGATATTCTATTTAGGTACCTAATTTACCTAGATTTGTCATAGCACACTGAGGACCAGATTTACAAGACAAGTCAATAGCAACAGTAAATGTAACCCAGCAAAAGAGGAGAAGATAACAATGATGACTACTACTACTACTACTACTACCACCACCACCATTACTACTACTGCTGCTGCTGCTACTGATGAGGAGGAGGAGAAGGAGGAAGAATAGGATGAAAAGAGCTGACATTATGTGGCATTTTATAGCTCACAGAGTGGACGCTCTAAGGACATCGCTTCACTTGAGCCGCACAACAAACACCCTGCTGAGGTAGTTACTCAAACGGGTTTCATTTTCAGCATTTCACAGCAGAGAAACTAAGTCACAGAGAATTTAAGTGACTTAATTAAGGATCCAAAGAGCCTTGGTCCAGAGCTGGATGGGATTTCAGAGGCCAGTTGGCCCAATTCTGCTCCTTTTACAGATGAGGAAACTGAGGCCCAAGAAGGTTCCACAACTGTCCCAGGTCATACAGGCAGCACACATCAGAAACAGGATTTGAAGCCAGGTCCTCTGACCCACAGTCAGAGTCCTTTCCCTTTTAGAACACCGTCTCATAAGCACCAGAGTCAGGACATGAATGAGGGTGTTCCTGACTCCCAATTCTAGTACTTCACTCACTATCTATATCATACAGCCTGGCACTACTTATGTCAAACATTTTACAATTTGGGATATAGTTCCCAAGTCTGTGTTTAAAAACCACTTGTATATATGCAACAGTTTTTTACACATATATTTCATAACTGAAATGTAGAAGGCATGTTTAGAATTTGGCTCCGGAATAGGTTGAAAGTCAAGCCCATTGATAGGGCTCAAGATGGCGTCTAATAGGTGTATAGAAAAAGGTGAACCTCAATAATAAGTCCTGATTAAATGTTACTGATGCTGTAAGAATGCAGACAATGCAGAGAAGAGAGTATGGGTGGAGATCTGGAAACAGCTTCCAAGCCTGGACCAGAGGTGCGATATTGGTCAAGTAATGAAATTGACTGACTAACTAAGCTTCTGCTGGAATTTGGTCTGGGTCAAAATCAGAATTAATAAGATATTAATATTAGTAAGACTTCCTTCAATGACCAATCCAAGAATTTATTAAGTACATACTATGTGCCTGGCACTGTACATCAAGGAGAAGGTGCTTGACCTAAATGTCAAAGGAAGCAAAGGATTTTAATAGAAATAATGAGATAGGGCATTCCCAAAATAGGGGACAGTCTGTGCAAACAGAAGTAGGAGGTAGAAAGTTTTGTGTCAAGAACAGCAAATAAGCCAGTTTGACTAGAACCCGGAGTGCATGAAGGAAAAAGCTGTGGCATCAGCCTGAAAAGGAAGGTCTTCTAAAGGGACAGATGTGGTGGCCAACAGAGCTTTTCCACAAAGTATTCAGGATCTATGTGCAAAGAATGCAGAAACAAAGGCATAGAATCTGGGGTGGATAAGAAAAGAACCAGAGTCCTCTAGGTAAGAGTGTAGGGACTATGAAAGGAGACTTGAGAGCAGCCCTCAGGTCAATGAACTGATTTTGCTTTCTAGTAATTGGGGAAGGGGGGAAAGGGGCAGAGACCAAAATAAGGACCATGGAAGCACTAAGCCCACTGCTTTGAGGGGTGTTACGTCGTTCAGTTGTTTCACTTGTGTCCTGCTCTTCATGACCCCAGTTAGGGTTTTCCTGACAAAGATACTAGAATGGTTTGCCATTTCTTTCTCCAGGTCATTTTGCAGATAAAGAACAGAGTGGGTGGCATTATGCTAATGAACAACAATGATTATTTTCTTCTGTTTTCAATTCTAAAGAGAATTACCATCTTTTGAAGGAAGAGTTAACAGGGAGTCAAAACCAGAGATGATACATGTTCAGAGAACACCTAGATTTTCCAAAGAGTTCCAGTCCCCAAGCTCCGGACCCATTACAGCCCAACATTCAGAAAGAATAAGTTGATACGATTAGTGATCTGGGGTTAGGGATCTTTGGAATGTCATAAATAACAGGTGCTAGATTCCAAGATCTAGGGATAAATTTCCTGATTTTCCATAGAGATAGTAAGTCTGCCACCGATGAGCCGGTGAGTTTTATTTCTGCTTCTAGAAAAAGTATATAACACATTACATAACATTATATAATTACATAACACATTAAAAGTGTGATTTGTGAACATTTCAAAAGGGAAAAAGCAATCATTAAAAGCCAGCACGACTTTATCAGGAATAGGTCTTGCCACCCGAAGCTCCTTGACCAAAGCAACTAGACTAATCAATTCTAAGAAATGAGGAAGCCACATTATACCCAGACTTCCACAAACCATTTAACAGACTGCCTCATTCTAGCTTGGTGGACAAGGTGGAGAAATGCGGAATAGACACCCATACCACCAGGTAGATTAGCAAGGGGGAGAACAACTAGACCCAAAGAGTAGCCACTAGCTTCACTGTCGTCTCGGAAGGATGTCTCCAGTGAAGTATCCCAGAGATCTAGGTTTGGCCCTGTGCTGTTTCACATTTTTATCACTGACTTGGATGAAGACACGGAAGACATTCTTGCCAAATTTACAAATGTTATGAAGTGGGAAAAGAGAGCTGTCATGATAGGTGAGACTGTCCAAAAAGATCTCTAAAGGCTAGAATGAGGAATAGAATTTAATGAGATAGAAATTATGAAGGATAAATGTAAAGTTTTATACTTGGTTTAAAAAATATCAACATTAAAAATTCGGGAAGAGCAAGGTGGATCTGAAGAACAGCTCAGGTGAAAAAGAGCTGGGGATTTCAGCGGACCATAAACTTGACACGTAAAGAGTCAACAGCTAACAATAGCATGGCATCCAATAAAGCTATTGATATCCTAGTCTAATGCTAAGAGAAGAACACTGCCAAGAATGAGGGGTATCAACATGTTGCTATTCTTTGTCCTAGTAAGATACCTTAGGTAGTTTGTTCAGTTCTAAACACGTTTTAGGAAAAATACTCACAGCTAGAAAAATTATTAATAATAATAGGCAATTGAGAACTTGACAGTCTTCAAAGGATTTTACATGCATAATCTAATTCAGTCCTCACAACGCTCCTGTGAGAAGGGTATTATTATTTTCCACATTTTAACAATGAGAAAACAGAGGTGGATATGGAATCAGTGGGTTAGAGTGAAATGCCCAAGATCACATAACTAATAATTATCTAAGAATGGATTAGATTCCAGGTCATCAAGACTCAGGGGCAAGTGTCCTATTCATTTGAACCAAGGTGCTTCTCAACACTCTCAGAAGCCAAATCCACAAACATTAATTAAGTGCTTACTGTTTGTCAGGTCCTGTGTTAAGCGATTTAGAACACACCAAGGATCGTACGAGAGCCACAGGCCATTAGAGGATCAACTGACTAAAAAGACTGGAGAGGTTTAGCCCGGAGAAAAAGAGGACTTCCCAAGAACATGGCTGCTCCCTTTGAGAATTTAAAGTTCTGTGATGTGGATGAGAAATTCAATTTGGTCTTCTCAGCTCTAGAGGACAGAACAAGGATTAAGAGATGGCTTCCTTCAAGCCCCAGCTAAATTCCACCTTCTACAAGAAGTTTTTCCCAATCTTTTTTACATTGAGTATCTTTCTTCCCTCTGTTGAATCTACTGGTCTATATCTTGTTTAAACTAAGCCATTGGCATGTTGTCTTTCCCATTAGACTGTGAGCTCCTTGAAGGCAAGAGCCATCTTTACTTTTCTTTGTATCTCTACAGCACTTAGCAGGGTGTCTGGCACACAGGAGGTGCTTAATAAATGTTTATTAACCAACTGGTTGAAATAGGAGAAAGGTAGATTAAGGTTTGACATAAGAAAAGAAAAAAAGGTGGCCAAAAGTAGAACAGGTTGTCCAGGAAGGTAATAAATTCCCACACGATGGATGTCTCCTTC